CCATAATGAATCAATGCGAGGAGCAATGAAGCGATTTCAACACTTCTCTGAAATTATTTTCAGATACTTCTCAGTGTGGTTGAAGGTACTTGTGCGTTTTTTTTCACAATTCATAAAACCCACTGATCCTACGTTCGAACGGACCCTTATAGAGATTTCACGCGATGCATGATACATGTCATTTTTTAAGGTAATGTCTCAAATTCATTATATTCAAATTTGAAAAGAACCTTTATATTAAACTCAATGTTATTTTACTGGATTATATTGGAGCAATTATTGGAATACATGTTGATGCACATGTTCCAATTAATGAGAAGATTACATTCATAGGCATTTGTGGGAGCCTGACGCAAAATGTTATGGTCGTTTGCGACTTCAACATGTGTTTCACTTTTGTTATTACCAGTTGGGAGGACAGTGCACATGACAATAGAATTTTCAAAGTTGTGATGTAGAATGTCACTTACTACTTTCCATATCCTCCTGCATGTATTCTTGATATTCAACTAATTTTGTAATTAATTTTTTTCTCAATATTAATTATGAAATTCATATTAGTTAAATACTACTTGGTTGATACTGAATATCCGTTGCAACGAGGGTTTCTCAAGCCTTTTCCTGATACGAGACATCACATATCAGACTTTGAGCGAGCGAGCAAGCAATGTTACACGAGGCAAAAAAAAATTTAATAAAAGACATTCGTTCTTATGTGGTGTCATTGAGAGAACTTTTGGTTTTTGGAAGAAGAAATGAGTTATACTCCGCGATATGTCATCTTTGCCCGTTTCCCAAACATGTGCAGATTATGATTGCCACGATGATTCTCCACAATTATATTCTGCGGCATCTTTCCCACAACGACATCAACTTTCGTAAGACAGATGAAGATTATGGTATGTACCTGCCGAGACATTTGAGTACCGTCTTGGACATTCTTTATGACAGTTTGAGAATGATGCTTCCACCATCTGTACTAAAGTTGGGGAACGTGTTTGTGAGATAACAGAATTGAGGGAACAAATTATGGATGCGTTAGCAGGAGGGTGATTGGAGTATTTCTTTATTCAATACTAACTGTACTATATTTCTTTTATTTAAAATCATTTATACTTTACATTTTATATTGATTGCTTGAACTTGTTACGCTGTTTGTATGTGTATTTTTTTCCATTTGTATTTTACTTGTTTTTCTTTTGGTGGATTTGAGAGGTTAATGATTAGACGATCGACCTTATGGGTTCTTCTGGATTTTATGTTAGTCGGTTTTGGTTGGTGTCACATGTGAAATTTTAATAAAGACAACCAATTTCCTCTCTTCTTTTCGACGATATGGTTTATAAGGATCTTTATGATAACATTTTTTGTGATATGCATATGTGACAGACACGAGTTTGGTTTTACTTGGGTTAAAAACAACCAAAAGCACTTTTTTTACATGATCTCCTGTATTTTTGTACTGACAAATTCGTAGTGACAGAATCTTTGGTTGGTATACTGAGTTTTTTGAGATCTCACACAGACAAAAAACTGTAAATAATTACTTCTTTTAGCAATTTCAACTTATGTTATGACCAATGATATGTCTTTTGTAGTATTCAGGAAAGATGAGTTCTAGGGTTTCAGGGACCTCTAGACGATTGCTTTGCCACTGCGGGCTTCAGAATTCTCTGTTTACGTGACTTCAGAAGCATGGCTACGGGAGGCAGCGCTACAGGTGCTCGTGGAGAATCATGGAGAAGTGTGACTTTTTCTAGTGGGAAGACAGTTCGGCAGATTCAATTGCCAACAGTGATCGAGAATATATAACATCTCTGGATGACGGCGTAGCTCATGACTTACGCCGTCTGCATTTTAAAATTAATATTACTATATTATTAAATGTAATTTTAATAGTTTTTTTTTAGTAATTTTGATACTCATTATTAAGGGAGGTGTTTATCTGGATTTTTGTACTGTTCTTAAGTGAATTTTTGCTCAGAAATATTAAATATATGACTATGACAGTTCTGTTACAAACAACATTACTATACGGGCAGAATGATCATTTGTCTAGAAATAGCTGCCGTACAGCTGTTTTCAAACTGCAGAAAACAAACAGTCAGTCAGCTTCTGCGCAGCAGTTTTCTGTGGCAACTACTGCGCAAGTTTTTTGATAAGCTGCAACTTCCCCAAACAGACCCTTAATTAGGGTTAATTTTATATCACAATTTCTATCGGACGTATCATTTTGGATCAGTTATATATGATCAAGAGACAAAATGAAGAAATGTGACAATTTGGGATTATATTGGCCACAAAATTATTTGGAGATTATTTTGGGATTTAATTTGCTTATGTGGGCTCATTTTGAGGTACTTTACAGTTGCGGACAAGAATATAGATGTGATCATAATCAGCATCAACAACAATAACAACGATTGTTGTTGGCTCATTTCTTTGTTATTATTCTTTCAGTTTAATGGCTTGATAAAGCTTATTTATAATTCAACTTAATTTTTTGTGCAGTTTTTTTATACTTCCATAATGAATCCACACGAAGCGAACCTTCATTTGGCTTTTTTAATATGTCGTAATCAAATTAATAATAAGTAATTGCAGTATGATTTTACTGAACTAATGATTGCTGAATTTATTACAAAAAATGAATTTTATAAGAACTATTTAGGAGATTTGGGAGTTTCTTGACTTACTAAACTCTTCAATATTACTTTAAAAACTAAAAAGATGCCCGAGGAGTGGAGGAAGAGTATTTTGGTCCCCATTTTTAAGAATAAAGGGGATGCACAAGATTGTGCAAATTATAGAGGAATTAAGTTGATGTTTCATACTTTAAAGTTATGGGAGAGGGTAATTGAACATAGGTTAAGATGTATTACAAAGATTTCTCATAATCAATTTGGATTTATGTCGGGCAGGTCTACTATGGAAGCTATACATTTATTGAGAGGTTTGATGGAGAAGTTCAGAGATAATAAGGAGAATCTACAATTGATTTTTGTTGATTTAGAAAAAGCTTACGATAAGGTTCCAAGAGATATCCTTTGGAGAGTTCTTGAGAAGAAATGTGTTGATATAACTTATATTTAAGTCATTAAAGATATGTATACTAGAGCTGGTACTTGTGTTCAAACTAAAGGGGGATTGACCAAATATTTTCCTATTTCTGTTGGATTACATCTAGGATTGGCTTTAAACCCATATCTTTTTTGCTTTATGGATGGTTTTGCTGGACATCTACAGGAGGAAGTACCTTGGTGTATGCTTTTTGCTGATGATATCCTTCTCGTGGTTAAAACGAGAGAAAAAGCCCAGGAAATACTTGAAATATGGAGGTCTACATTAGATTCTAAAGGCCTTCATTTAAGTAGAACTAAAACTGAATACATAGAATGTAATTTTAGTTGTAGTAGCTCTAGTGACAGAAGTGTGATTTTTGGTGATCAAATTATTAAAATGTGTGAACGATTTAGATATCTTGGGTCCGTTGTTCAAAGCGATGGTGATATAGATGAGATGTTAATAGTAGAATTCAAGTTGGTTGGTTGAAGTGGAGGAATGCTTCGGGCCTTTTGTGTGATAGAAAAGTACCACTTAGACTGAAAGAAAAATTTTATAAGATGGTGGTGAGACATGCAATGCTCTATGGCGCTGAAGGTTGGCCTTTAAAAGAGAAGCATAATAATAAGTTAAGTGGTGCAGAGATGAGAATGATTAGGTGGATGAGTGGCTTTACACTTAGAGACAAAATGCGAAATGAATATATCCGTGATAGGGTTGGTGTAGCTCTTGTGATGGACAAAGTTAGAGAAAGTCATCTTAGATGGTTTGGTCACATTAAACATCGATCATCTGATGATCTGATTAGGAGAGTTGATGCTTTAGATTCAACTTGTGTTAAGAAAAGGAGAGGTAGACTTAGGAAGACTTGGGCTTATTGTATAAAAAATGATCTTAATTTACTAGAACTAAATGAAAATATGACACTAAATAGGACACAATGGAGAAAAATGATTCATGTAGCCGACCCCACGTAGTGGGATTAAGGCTTTGTTGTTGTTGTTGTATTTAGTGCAAATCTCGTATTTAAATATTGTCTTTAAGAGGTGTGGTTAATAGTTCATTTTTGTATTTCAGTTAACTTAAAAGGTTTAGTAAAAATAACACAAATGCTCATTAATACTTGTACAACTATTTCTTTTATTGTTATAATTTTTTTTAATCTGAAGTTGTACTTGTGGTTGTGATTAATTATTGGCTTAAATTTAAAATAATTCTTCAAACTATTTTATTGTTCAGGAATATCCAAGAGCTTTACAATTGAATGGTTAGTTTCCTTTTTTAAATGAATGGCTAGATTCAACTAATGACATTTAGTTATTTAGATTAAAGTTGATTATTGAATAACTAAGATATTTGCTGATAGAGACTTGAACGGCTTTTTTATGTTAGTATGTCTAGTTTTTGCCAAATTTCTTATCTAGTTCAGGAAGCAAAGAAAGGAGGCATACAGAGCTAATTTCCAATTATAAGTTGATAAATACCTTTGATGGTTGATTGTAAGTTTCTAATATTTGCTTGAAAATTCTGAACTTCTTAGTTTGCACTTTTTGAAGTTTTTCCAATACTATCTGTTTCTCTCTTTGTATATACTGGAAATAATTATAAGTTGATAAATGCCTAGTTGGTTGAATTTTCCAAATTTGGTGGTATTGTTATGATGGTGCATTTTGATTGGACTTTGTCCCTCTCTATTTCTCTCAAAACTTTTTTAAGCCACCTTCAAATTTCAGAGATGCATACTTAACAGAAAATTTGAACTAATTTACTTCACACTACTTTCAATGAAGTCCATCTTAATAATAAACACTTGCCTGGATCGTTTTGTTTTACATTCAATTTCATTGATGCCTTTATGGAGGAATTAGATTTTGTTGGACTCTTCTCAAGCTTATTTGCTGCTAAATTAATTCCTTATATTTATTTCTTTCTAGCAGGATCAAATTAATATTGATGAGATCAAGAATCACATCGACTCTTTCAAGGTTCTTGTCCAACAAAAACTATTTTCTTTTATAATTTTCTTTTACCATGAAGGGACTTGAAAGTACATACGGGTTAGTTGGTGTTGTAGTATATTTAATTACATTCAATCTGGTATGAGGATGGATTTAATAGGCGCATGTGAAGACTTGTGCCTTCTCTTCTTCCCACTTATAATTTTAATGTCTTGATATATAATAAATATATAGTAACATGCTATTATCATTTGATATTTTTTGATGATAAAATTCAATTTGTTCTCCCGTTAAAGAATATTTTCTTCTCTGTCAAAAATATAAAAGTCTTTTTTACCCATAAGACCGATATTTCTAGAAAAGCGAAAATGAATGGAGTCACGAGGTCATCATCTCATGTAGTGCTTGCATTGATTAATAGAACACATATTCGTGTTGTGGAAATCTTGAATATTTCTGAAAATTAGTAGGTTGATTGCGTAGTAGTTAGATCTTCTTGATTCCAGGATCCTTTCACAAAATACAAATGGTGGAGGACTTTTTCTCTGTAATCAATGGATCCTGCAGCTGGTATTCTCTCTCCCTGCTGGACTTTCGCTCTTGGAAGGAAATCTGCATTTTCTTTGCCGCATACAATACCTTTATATCAATCCAATTAAACTTTGTCATTTGAGCTGGAAGCCCAGATGAAATATCAAGTAGTGCTTTGCTGCAATCACTTCAAGAATTACAACCCCAGTTCAAATTGAGATTCCACTTTCAGTTACGACAGTGACACGGTAGCCTAGGTGCAAGACATCATGAATTCGGGAGCAGAGAAATGATGCAGGAACGAGCATTTGGATGTGGGATTCACGAGCGCGGGGGATCTTCCACATTTCAGAATGAGTGGACCGAGCAGTTCCTGCCTTGGGAGAGCCAACAAGCTCTTCCACGAGGGATTGACACAGAGTGTCCGAATTCTAATTATCTAGGGCTTATATATGTGTTTCCTTTGTTTAGGCTTTTAGGTCTTGCTTGTATTTCTGTCAGGACAACCTTGACCTCTTCCATTTTACCTTTTAGGGCTTTATATGAGAGTGAGTGATGCTCTGACTATACCTCGTTCTTAGGTGGTGATTCTCCTCCAATGGTTGAGTGGTTTTCTTGTTGTATCTCGCTCTCAAGATGGTGTTTATCCTTCCCCAACTCCTCCACATCCCTCCCGCTTCGCTGCCACACATTCCTCGTAGCTGCAGCCGCCTCGAAAGCCACATCCCGACGGTTTTCCTGCAGTTCCTCCTCTCCCAACCACCCTCTCCTTGCTGCCAGTCACCCTGAATCCTTCCTCCTGCATCCTTGATGCTGTTCCAGCCGCTTAGAATCATCCACCTTCCCCCTCCTCGCTGCCAGCCACCCAGAATGATTCCTCCGAAACTCCTGTCGCTGCCCCAGCCACCTGGAACCATCCCTCTTACCGCATCCTTGCTGCCAGCCGCCCAAAAGCATTCTTCCCACCGTACTACTGCTGTGATAGCTGCCAGAATCCTCCTCACAACTATTTCAGCTTCTATGGACCACCTCTGACTGCTGTTCCTATATTGCCAGCCCACCTACCATCTAGCCACCACTTTTCTAAGTCTTTAGTACTCACCACCACCTCCCTATATCCGCCCTAGTTGTGCATCAAGTCTCGTGTCTGTTATTTTCCTTTTTTGCGGTGTTAGTTGTAACCGTCTATTAGTTTTTGTAGTATTAATATTTGTTTCCTTATCATTGTTTTGATATTCTCTGATATAATTTGGTATTGGAGCTAGCTTAATCTTAGTCTTATTCTAGAATTTTTTTTGTTTCCACTAACACCCAACCCCAACTCCACCCAAAAATCCTTTCCTTTGCTGATTTTTCAAATCGGCCACTCAAAAATTTTTTTTCCCACCCTACATCATACCTAAACACTCTCTTCCACCTACCCAAACCCAAATGTCAACCACGACACCGATGAGACAATTTCGGAGACCTATTCGGGAGGAAATGCCACAATGCCGTTTATGATAAATTTACAAAGAGATGTCCGGGTACATTCTATAGAGGATGTGCTTCATCAGTGGCTTTCCACCTTTGAGAGAAGGTAATCCGGAAGGGTCACTCGTAACCACAACGATGAATTGTTAGATCCAAAGAATGCATTAAATCCCTTCTACCGAACAAATTTCATAGATGAAGAATTACTACCCGGAGGATTTGGTATGAATTACTATCAGAGTCCAAGATTTGAAGCATATGTAGATTTGTCATATTTTGATGGCCATGAATCCAAACGAGTTCATTGAGTGACTCTGAATAGTAGTGTACCTTTATGTACCACGACATCCATCCATATAAAATGATGAAACTAGTCTCCAATAAGTTAAAGAAGAGTTATTTTAGTGAGAAAATTTGCAGCGTTTACGTTAGCATGAGAAAAAAGACAAAATCACTTTCTGGTCCAAAATTAAACAGGAGATGCGGCACCATTACCTCCATATTCATTACCGATTAGATGTTCATACCCTAGTTTCATAACTGGACAATATCACTAGATGATCGTTACATCTTACAGTTAGAGTCGAGCAGCAAGAGCTTGCTATAGGGAACATCGAAGTCCTTGCCCGAGGAGAAACTGATTATGAGTGGAGATCAGATGAAGCCAACTGGCGTTCCTAAATTTGTCCCAGCCAGAAAGTGTGTCCAAGGTTTTAGGTATAGTGCAACAGATTGCCCAAACAAGGATATGGTTTATTTCACTGAGCAGGAAGCTTTTGAAGAAATGGATAATGACACGATAGACACTGAAAAAGGTAAGGATACAAAAGAGTGCCAAATTTCAACTGATGAAGAAAAGTAGGGATTCAACCCGAGCGCATGAGAGAGTAACAAGACTAGCATTGGTGGTCCAAGATAGTCTTAAATCCGAGGAAATGACAATTGAAACATGAGAATCCCATATAAGAGAATTTCAGACTTTCCATATATATAGTATACTTCTTGATTTGTCATTACTGAGAGAGGTCCAACATATCAGAGATAAGACTCATTTGCGCCACTTTTGGAATACATATATAGTATACTTTCTGAGTTGTCATTACTGAGAGAGGTCCAACATGTCAGAGCTAAAACTCATTTGCTCCACTTCTGGAATACATATATGGTATACTTCCTGAGTTGTCATTATTGAGAGAGGTCCAACATATCAGAGATAAGACTCGTTTGCTCCACTTCTGGAATACTATACAGAGTCATTTAAGTATTAAAATCAGTTCAATATTGTGCCCAGTGACAATTGATTAGATAGGATGTATGAACCACAATGTTGGAAATAGCCTTAGGATCTTTGGGGGAAAGAACATCCTATAGTGGGATCTAGGTCCTTTTAGAGAAGAAGTGCCTCTCATGAGTGGCTATGCTTCAGTGTGGTCTAGTTTGCCACAGATTTCAGTCCAGAGTTAGTTCCTTTAACGATTTTGTTTATCGTATATGTCTTGCCGAGTACAAGGAGCGGAGGAGACAAATTATAGATTTAATGGCTTGAGAGTTATATTGTGGAATTTTATGACTGCATGTAGCGCTTTCTCAGGTCGTGCCAAAAAATAATTGATACTTATTATATCAGGACGTGTTTTGGAATAACAGTGATTGTAGAAGTGACTCACCGAAAAACTACTGTAGCTTCACCATCTTAAACATGGCTGACTCGACACCATATCACGAGAAGCTGAAAATTTTGACAGATGTGTTCGAAGCTCCCCTTAACTTTGGAAGACTGACATGGGAGCCTGGGTGACGCGAGCGTTTGGATGCAAGTCACAAACGCCGAAGTCCCCGGGACAGGATTTCAGGAAATCAAGTGTCCTTGGGGCGGGATTTCATGATTGCGGGAAAGCGTGAGATACTTAGGGTGGGATTTCATGACTGTAGGAGATGAAGGAGGCTAGAACCGTTTCGGTCTAGGCTGTGTGAGCCAATCAGCTTTTCTCAAAGTGGGCGTTGTGTCCTTTAAGTAGAGGCCCTTCATGATGAATTCAAATATTGACTTTTTTTACAATATTTTAGGATTAATGCAAATTTATTTTTGTAATTTCAAATTTAAGATTTTATAGCTCAATACACTCAACTATTTTATTATTTTTGTTAGCTCTTAGTATCAAGTGAATAAAACAAGGTATAATTATGCATGCCCTTCATGATGAATTCTCAAAAGATTTGTTCATAGGGTCAATTGGTATGCAGAAACAGACTCACTCTATAAGCGGGGGTCCTCAAAGGATACATCATCTATTTTCATGCAATGAGTGAGTGCCTGAAGACAAAATGATAAAATTAATAAATTTAGTTATAGTTTTGTTGTTGTTTTAAATGCATGATGTTCTAAGGTGTGAAGATAATGTTTTGTTTTGTTTTGATTTTGGTTGTGAGTTTATTAATTTTGTAAATTTATGCTGAAATTGTTTATTTTGGGGTAGAAAATTTAGTTCTTAATAAGCCTACCAGTTATCCAAGCATAAAACAAACATAAAGACAACGACCTAAAATTTTGGTAGATCTATTGAGCACAAACACAAATAAATAGAAGAAAAAAGACAAGACAACAACAGGGTAACCAACCTAAGTCCTTCGTCAGAATTGTTGGTCAACTGTGTCATTTGAATATCGTTGTTGGTTTAGTTGATGTTTATTCCTTGTTTCATGTTTAACTTTCCTTGGATAGTTTGGATGCCAACAGTTAACCAACTATGAGACACCTTAACTCTAGAAAAGAAAAGAAACCACAGAAAAACAAACTGAGTTAACACATTTTAAACTTACTATAGCAACTCTGCAAAACAAAGTCAACAAATAGTTTGTAAAGAAAATTCCACAGAACATAAAGAAGAGTTGTTTACTCGTCCTAGACATTCAGTCTAACAACAAAAATCAGCCCTAAACAAATATTTCAAACGAGCAAATTAAACAAGCACAACACAAAGAGCACAACAAAATACAATAATCTCACCTCAACTTAATTTTAA